AAAAAAAAAAAAGATGGATCAAAGACCTAAATTTAAGACCTGAGACTATGAAGTTGCTGGAAGAAAGTGTAGGGAAAATATTCTAAGACATTGGTATAGGGGACGATTTCTTGGATAAGATCCCCAAAGCAAAACTAGACAATACGAAACTGAGAATCTTCTACATATCAAAGTAAACAAATAACAGAGTAAAGAGGGGGGCTGGCGTTATGGTATAGTGGGTAGGCTGCTGCCTGCAGTGCCCTCATCCCATATGGGCACCGGTTTGAGTCCCAGCTGCTCCACTTCTGATCCAGCTCTCTGTTATGGCCTAGGAAAGCACTGGAGGATGGCCCAAGTCCTTGGGCCTCTGCACCCATGTGGGAGACCCAGAAGAAGCTCCTGGCTTCAGACCAGCCCAGCTCCAGCCGTTGCAGCCATTTGGAGAATGAACCAGTGAATGGAAGACCTCGCTCGCTATCTCTGCCTCTATAACTCCATCTTTCAAATAAATAAATAAGTCTTTTAGAAAAAATAGAGTGAAGATACAGCCAACATAAAGGGGAAAAATATTTGCAGGCTATCTGACAAAGATTAACATCCAGGATATAGGGGCCGGCGTTGTGGTGTAGTGGGCAAAGCCACCGCCTGCAATGCCAGTATCCCATATGGGCACCGGTTCAAGTCCCACCTGTTCTACTTCTGATCCAGCTCCCTGTTAATGTACCTGGGAAAGTCGTGGAAGGTGGCCCAAGTGTTTGGGCCCCTGCACCCACGTGGAAGATGTAGAAGAAGCTCCTGGCTTCTGGCTTCAGCCTGGCACAGGCCTGGCCATTGCAGCCATTTGGGGAGTGAACAAGTGGCTAGAAGATCTCTATCTTTCCCTCTCTCTCTGTATCTATGCCTTTCAAATAAATAAAAATCTTCTTTTTCAAATATCCAGGATATATCAGCAAATCAAACTCCCAAAAATAAAAAAACAACAACAAATCCAGTTAAGAAATGGGCTAAGGACCTCAAGAGACTGCTCTCAAAAGAAACACAAATGACCAACAAATATATGAAGAAATGCTCCACATACCAGCCATCAGTGAAACAGGAATCAAAACCACAACGAGGTATCACCTCACTCCCGGCAGAACGGCTGTTATCCAAACACAGAGGGCACCAAATGCTAGCAAGCATATGGAGAAAGGGAAACACTTTTCCACTGTTGGTAGGAATGTAAATTAGTGCAGCCACTGTGGAAAACTGTGTGGAGGTTTCTTTAAACTCAAAATAGACTTGCTATAAGATCCAGCAATCCTACTACTGGGTATACACCCAAAAGACACGAACACATTGTGTCAGAGTGACACCTGCACCGCCCTGTTCACAGCAGCACTGTTCACAACAGCCACACACGTAATCAACCACAGTGTCCATCATCAGACAAACGGACAGTGTGGTGTAGATACACAATGGGAAATCATTCAGCTATAAAAAGAGTGAAATTCTATCATTTGCACCACAATGGTTGCTATCAGAGGACACCAAGTTGAGTGAAAAACAAGCAGACACAGAATGTTCTCTTATATATATGGGAGCTGAAATTTAAAAAACAAATTTAAAAAGCAACACTCGTGCATATCAGTTTTGCTGCAAATATAGTGTTTTGTCAAACTTTGTTTTAAATCTTTGTCACACTGTTAAGAATGGCATACTACTCTAGTTTTAGTGACCCATGATTGTCTTAAAATTTACTGTGTATGAATGAAATTTGATTATTCTTTACAGCCCATGCCTATATCCCCGGTGAACTATGATCTTTTTACTTTTTACTTGTTGAATTCTTTATTTAGTGGAGCATTAATTATGCCTTTGAGTACAATGTAAACTGAAAACATCATCTCAAAAATAAAAAAATAAGAAATAACTAACAAGCAATACTTGCTTCCTACTCTATGAAGTAAAAGCTAAACACTATCTACTCTGAAGACTGACTCAATAGCACAGTGGCGGCACAGCACCTAACACGGTGCCTGGCACACAGCAGGTGCACAATGAACAAGAGCTCTGACGGGCCAGAAACATCATTAGCACACTACTGATTCACACACAAGGCAGCAGTATCGACGTGACCGTGGCAAGAATTTTCCACTGACTTCGTAATTCACAATTATAGCACTTTATAAATACACTGTAAAAACATAACTTACAATTGAATTAACATCTTAAGTTTTAGCTTCTAACTTAGAACTTGGACTGGAGCCAGTTACCAGCACCAAACACATGAGGCTGGAACCACTGAAAATGAAAACTACGCACACGGAGAGACTTAGAAAGAGGAGAAGGACAGCGGTATGACGCCAGCACGCGGATGAGTGACCTGCTGGAAATGAGCCCTAAGGTAGCCAGAATCACGTCCACTCCCGTGACGCGGAGTTTGATAAATGATGCATGCAGCTCATCTAAACTGATTTTCCTCCCGACACCTGGGCCTAAGAGTGGCTGCTCACCCCGAACCTTCTGGGCACCTCAGGTGAGCAGCAGCAGAGCCGCACCTGCCGGTGCCCCTGGGCAAAGGCACGCGCCCACCCCGGGACGCTTCCCCGTCTCAGGACCAGTGGGGAACTTCCTAACACCCCCTAAGTGCTCCACTGCGCTCCTACACCTGCAGTGGCTTCCGGGTCTCCTGCCCGCGAGGCAGGGTGGCCCAGGGCTCCCCCGACAGGGCCCGTCTTGGCCTTTACAAGTGGTCCATGTGGTCTGGGTTGCTGCTCCGAGCCCAGGTGACCATGGGGCTGGTGGGCAGGCAAGATAGGGCTTTATCACGGTGCGGGGGAGCCGCTTCCCGGCACTTACAAAGAACCGCAGACGACAGGCTTCCACGGGGAAACCAGCCAGTGGGAGAGCCAAGTGCTGGTGCGATTGTTGGCTTTGATGAACAATGCCTGTCTGTTTCTGTGGGTAATTAAAGTTCAACAGAAGCTATAAAGAGCTCTCCAAGAAAGTCTAAACAGCCTTTGGCTGGAGGGTACAGCAGCGCGACTCAATCTAACCATTCATCTTTGTAGTTCCCGGTGCTACTCCACACAGGTGTTACAACCAAGCAGCTCACCTGGGACAAACAACCCTCGGGGCTGTGACCATCCCAGGAGCAGAGACCTCCGCGCAGCCCACGTGTGCCCCACACACTTGCACACAGCCCTCCCACGTGTGCCGCGGTGCCGAGCGCTGCCACGAAAGACCGCAGTTGCCATGACTGTAGCTCAGGTCTTCCCACGAGGGGGCTTCAAGAACTCCTAGCAAATGCGCGTTATAGAAAAACTATGCATGGGTCTCAGTAATTTTTTTACAACAAAATAAAATCATAGCTTTGAATGCCATTTTTTCCCATGAACTTTTTGAAGGACTCATATTTAAAACTGACCAAAGGTCCCTAATGAGCTGGATGCTGGGAAATGTGTTGACAGCTCTGCATTGTCCCAGCCAGAGGTGGGTGGTTAGTGAGGGGGCACTGCCACGGGCTGGCCGTGGCCTCTGGCACAGGAAGATGTTTGCCAAAGCCATTTGGTTTAATGCTCTTTTTCCCCAGAAAATCACTCAGTACAGATTTTTTAACAACTCCCTGCCATCAGTACAAATTTTAGTGCATTTAATTTTAAAAAAGTTTGGGCAAGATGTTGTTACCAATACAGGTTGAGCATCTCTTATCCAAAATGCTTAAACATTTCAGATTTCATATTTTAGAATACCTGCACATACACGAGGTGTCTGTGGGCCAGGACCCAAGTCTAAATGTGGCGCTCACGTGTGTTTTATACACATCTTATACGTGTGATGAAGGTGGCTTCACACACTAGTTCTAGTGCACCTGCATTTTGACTGTGACCTATCACATCGGCTCAGGAGTGGGATTTTCCACTTGTGGTGTCATGCCGGCACTCGAACACGTCCATATTTTGAAGCATTTCAGATTTCAGACATTCGGATATGGGATGCCCAACCGCATTTTAAAAATCCCATCAAGTTGAAAGCACTGTATTCAGAGCCAACTGCGCATCTTGCCTCGCCAGCCCCCAGGTGGCTAGCATGGGATCCCCTCGGGTGATGCAGAGGAACTCACACGCAAACGCGACTCCCACTCTGCACCCACACCACGACACTGAACAGGTGCACCAAAGCCAAAGTCGCTATGGAAATAGGAGACATTACGATGGCACCAGACCTCAAAACTACAAAAGCAAAGCCGGGCACGTGGCTGAGGCTCGAGGCAGACGGTTGCTTCGGCTGCTCCCTGGGCACCGACTTCACAGCTGCAGAGGCCTCGGCCAACCCCGGGCCCTCCCTGCGGCAGGCGGGAAGGAAATCTCACGGGATTCCTTTTCCCTGGGAACTAGATTTCCACCTTACTCTGCTCCATCCGATCCAATATGCATTTCCCACTGTTCCGCACGCTCTCTTTGAGGTTTCCAAGTAGTTACGTAACCGACACTTACTCTGGAAAAAGAGTAAAACCTAGGACCACAGTTTGATTGACAGCTGTCTTCCTGCCACCCGAGCCGCCCTGTGGGTGAAGGACAGTCACTCACCCGTGTGTTTCTTCACCTGAAAGACACGGAGGTGGCCTCGGCTTCTGCCTGCAAAGGCACCTTTGAGCTCTAAGGTTCTCTGGTTATTCCGCCCTAAACAGAAGCATTTCTGTGTGCAAACAGAATGAGTTCTACTCAGGAGGTTGGACTTGGCTTGGAACTGGCTGAAAGGAAACTAGAAAGCCAATCACGCAAAGATAAACTTGACAGCGCATCCGAGACCACGCAGGGGGACAGAACTAAGTGAGCCGCTCTGAGAAAGTCCTCTTCCCCTCACTGAGCTGGCCTCAAGGACAGCCAGGCGCATCGAATTAACACGTCAACCCTCCGGGTCAGCCTGCTCAGCGGGGCTGGGAGCCTGGCTCGCAGGACGTACAGAAGCCAAGGGAAAACACGTGGTCAGAAAGGAATCCGAAGACGCAGAGCGACCCGGGGACTCATACTTACTTGTGGCCCAGCTCGTGGGCAATGGTGAACGCCAAGTTGAGACCATTGTCTTCGGCAAGCACGCACTTCCTCTTAGCGCTGCACACGCCTCCCAGGTACGCGATGCCTGCAGCGAGACACAAAACACACCCTCTTCAGAACGTGGGCGCCAAGGCCGTGTGGTCAGCGTCACGTGGGACCTGCAGTGGGGCAGGCAGGACCGGGTGGCCGCGGCGGGACCGGCAAGCCTGCAGGTTTGTGTTCACCCAGCAATAACCATGATGGTAACCACAGACAACTGTCAAGCATTCGACGTGTCAGGTGGGCTGCTGCGTGGTCCACACGCAGGACACTTCAAGAGTTCACGCAACGTGGGATTAAAAGACAAGCTTATTTTGAGGCAAAACACTTGGAAAGCCATGTATATGAGAAGCGCATATTATGAAAAATCTGCACATGGATTAAAAAAATTTTCCCACCAAATAAACTTTGAATCCCATCTTCCATGAACTGCTTGAAGTGTCCCGTTTAATCCTCCTCACCGAGGATGGAGGAGACACAGGCGCAGAGAGGAAAGGTAGCTTTCTCACGGTCACCAGGTTCGCCCCGGGACCTGGGATCCTAAGCCGGATCTGTGCAGCTTCAATGCCCAAGGCTGGGAACAGGCGAGGCCGCAGGGAAGCGGTCACTGTGCAAAGCTAAGGGAGGCCCTTGCTCTTCCGAGCGCCTGCACACCCCCAGCGGAGCCTCCTTGAATTCTGCACCTGCACACTTTTGTCTAGACCTGGTCCTGCGGGGATCGATGCTCTCAGATGCCCCTGGGGTGCCAGCTTGGCTCCAGCTCGCCAACAGCAGCTGGGGAAGGCTGGGCAGAAGGTTCTGGAAGATGCTCACGAGCCCTGAGAGAGTGTGCAACCAGGACCCGGGGGAGCAGAGAGAACACGAGCACAGGACGAGCCCCCAGGCCAGCTTCTTCCTCTCCACACTCAGCAGACCCGAGGACCCAGGGAAGCAGAGAGAACACGGGCGTCACCAGCGCCCAGGCCAGCTTCCTCCTCTCCTCACACACTCAGTGGACCCGAGACCTCACCCTGAGAGCCTGCATGGCCAGGCAGCCTGCTCCAGCAGGAAGGCGGGGCAGAGAGAGGTGTTAGCAGGACGATGCACACACACGGGGACACAGAAGGGGACACACGATGGCACTGCAGGAGGGAGGCGGCTGCAGGGAAGAAGGCTCTGGGACTAAAGGGGGTGTGAGCAGCACCTGTTGGGGGAGGGGCTCTGGGCGGCGGGCACAGCAGGGCAGGAGGACAAACCCTCCCCTCCCCCTCGACCAGACTTCTGGAGGCCACACTGCAGGCCCCGTACTGCCCGCGTAATCTGCACACTTCCATCCACCCTGCACCCTGGACGAAGAAGCCTCATCGCCCAGGCCCCCCAGACCCCCCAGGATGGGTCTCACTTGGGGCCCCTGGACACCTGCCCTCTGCCCTCCTGGTACTGGTGCCCTCTGACCCCTCCGAGAGCAGCCCTTCAACAGTCCTGTGAGACACACAACTGGGTGGGGAGGACAAGGAGGCACTGGAGGCGGCGGCTTGTGCTCCCTGCTGTGAGGGCAGAGCCAGTGCAGAGTGGCCTTGGGCCCCCTGGGCGTGCGGCCCTGCTGCGGTGGCTGGGAATGGCAGGTGGAAGCAACACCCAGCTGGACCGGCCCTGGGAGGGGCTGTGGCGGCTGAGCAGGGCCACCTCTTGTCCACCACAGATGCTGCCCAGCTGCCCTGCTGTGGCTGACTTGTACAAGGTCCCTCAGGGCGCAAGGCACTGGCAGGCAGGGCAGGAGTTAAGGGTGACCCTGCACCCAAAGAGCTGAATCAACCTCCCCTTGCTGACATCAAAACCAAACTGGTGCAGAGCTCAGCCCCACCCAGGCACTGCCTCCTTGCTGGTCCCCTGGGCCAGGTACAGAGAGGAGGCTCTGTGGAGATGCCGTTCTGGGCCCGGGCCCACAGTTCAGCTTACATCCCTGCACCAAGCCTGGGTACCACACCACGTGTCTGTTTTTATTTGGAAACGTGCAATGTGGCAGCCCAAGACTGAAGAATTTAAAATAAAATTAAAGAAAGAAATCAGAAGCTATTTGCCCATGAGATGATTCTGTTGCACGTGGACATCATAAACCAACAACGCCGGCCGCTGGGAGGAACGGAAAACAGCAAAGGACGTGGCCTGGCTTCTCGGTGCTGTCGAGGTTGTCATTTTGGTTTTGTTTAAAACTGCCTGTGTGGGCTGCTGCAGAGGGCCAGGGGGTGGGCGGACGGCGGCTGCACAGCCTTGCCGGCAGGAGTGTGCAACACACGTGCACACCCACGCACACGCTTGGTCGCACTCCAGCAGTGTGGATCCCGCCCACCCTTGCCTGGGTCAATGCATCAAAGTGAAAGGATCCGGAGACGGGTGGGAGACGAGACCGGGCTGAATGTGCTGAGCTTGCTGTGGCCGGGCCCGGCCGCTGCTGAACCAGCAGCCCTCAACTGCCACCCCAGCACTTCCTGCGGCGCCGGCCGCCCAGCCTACAGCACCGGGAACACCAAAGCCACGAGCCTCCCGGTAACTGCATCTTAATCCTTCCAAGGCCCAGGCGACTTCTCTCTCTCGTTAGAAAACACAGGACCTGTTTAGTCAGTAGCATTGTTCTCGCACAAAGGCGTACTGGGGTCCCCTGCCTCGCAGGATTTGCTGGGGCAGCGCCCCCCAGGTCCCGAAGCCCAGTGAGGGAGCAGACATCAAGGCGCTCGGGCCCCACTGCCGCAGCGCAGGAGCTGCTGCCCTGTGGACACAGGGGTGGCAAAGCTCGGGGGGCAGGACACGGCCTGGGGGAGTTCCTCGTCATTAAGCCATGGAGCATCCGCAGGAAATCATGCCACTGTAGCCCACCGCTGTCCATGCTTTCTGGAAATAAATGGCTACAGGGAAGGGGGACCCGAGACCCTCCCATTGCCTCAAGCTGCACAGGGCACCGACCTGGAACCCCCGCCAAACCCCAGGGCGTGCTTGTCAAGAAAGGAGGAGAAACCAGTGCTCACGGCATTCATCCGTCAACACTCATGGTCTGCGACACGGGGCGGGGGGCTGTGGAGCCAGGGGTGGCCCGACGGCCAGGCAAGGGCTTCCTGGACCCTAGGCCAGCGCTTCCGATGCTCTCAGCCTCCTGGGACTTGAGGTCCCCTCTGAGAGACGTCACAGTGGAGCTCACAGGAATGTGTCGACAAACGTCAACCCCACGAGGTTGCACAGCTGCTGGGGAGCCCCAGGGCGCAGAGGGAACGAGCGCTCTGCACGCCTCACTCCTCCTTCCTGGTCCCGTCTTACAGATGGGAAGGCGGGGGCACAGCGCCGGGTACAGGCTCAATCCGCGCCCTCACCAGGACACAGAGGTAGGGCTCTCTGCCTCCAACGCTGCTGCTCTGCCAGGCAAACCCTGGGCCTCCCCAGTCAAAGCTTTGGTGAGCAGCCGCAGTGACTCAACTTCAGGGCTCAGAAGGTCGTCCCAGATCTTAACACCTTCCTGTGTGGACACGCGGCTGGAGTCAAGTAGGCTTTCGTGTCTAAGTCCAAACTTCTTTTAAGCCAAAAGATGAAAGACCCAAGGCCAGCTCATTAATCAATTACTTAATTGGCACAGCATTAATCCACCACCTCTGACACTGCATCCCGTGTGGCCACCAGTTCAAGTCCCTGCTGCTCCACTTTCTTACCCAGCTCCCTGCTGATGCACCTGGGAAAGCAGCAGCAGACGGCGAAGGGCGTGGGCCCCTGCACCCAAGTGAGAGACCTGGATGAAGCTCCTGGCTCCTGTCTGGCCCAGCCCCAGCTGTTGTGGCCATTTGGTGGATAAATCAGTGGATGGAAGATCTGTGTGTATGCGTGTGTGTGTGTGTGTGTGTAACTCTGCCTTTCAAATAAATAAATCTTTTAAAAAAAAAAAAAAACTAAAGGAACACGTCCAACAATGTTGACAGTAGTTTGCGTTAGGTTGTGCTGTTGGAATTGGAGATCTTTTTCATTTTCTCCATTTTCTTCTTCTAGGAGGAGAATTCAAAAAGTTCATGGAAATATATATTATAAAAAAACATGCATCGATTTCAAATGTTTGTGCACCAAAATAAACTTAGCTGTCAGGTCCTCTTCCCACGAACCCTCTGGAGTTTCCCTCATTAGGAAATTAAATCCGACTTGAACCTGGTATAATTAACACGCGTGTTGCTATAACAACTAGAGTGACTGACTGCACCTCAGTTATCCACGGTGGCACACAGCAGAGGTGGAGGCCAAGAACACCAGCCCTCTGCCCTGACTCGGCACGCACGGCGCTTCTGGCCAGAAAAGCACAAGTTTGGGGTCAACAAGCACAGCCCAGCACACGCTTGCCCCCAAGACGGGGGCTCGGCTGCATCACCACCCCTTGGCACGGCTCAGGGGAGCAGAACCCTCTCCTACATCGGAGTGCAAACAGAAAGCTGCACTGAGTCTCTGACTCCCGGAGAAACAGGTCTGACTCATCCAGAGACACGAGCCACGTGCACCGGACACACAGACCTGCCTCGCCAGCGTCACGTGGACCCCCTCTCTCCTCTCTACACAGAGGCAATCAGGTAAGCACATTAAATCATTTTCTTCCGGGGCCAGCGCTGTGGCGCAGCAGGTAAAGGTGCCGCCTTCAGTGCCAGCATCCCGTATGGGCGCTGTTTCAAGCCCCGGCTGCCCCACTTCCCATGCAGCCCTCTGCTGTGGCCTGGGAAAGCAGTAGAAGATGGCCCAAGTCCTTGGGCCCCTGCACCCACGTGGGAGACCCGGAGGAAGCTCCTGGCTTTGGACTGGCCCAGATTCTGCCATTGCTGCCATTTGGGGAGTGAACCAGCAGATGGAAGACCTCTCTCCTCTCTCTCTCTCTCTCCTTCTCTGTGTAACTCTGATTTTCAAATAAATAAATAAATCTTTTAAAAATTTATTTATTTTTAGTAGAAAGCATGGCACCAAGAGCCCGTGATTCCTAAGCGTGGGGTTGGCCGTTTGGCCCTCTTTAGACGTAACAAGCAAACAACACGCACCTGTGTGAGCTCTGGTTAT